CACGATCTTGCTGATAATGGTGTTCAAAGGCCCGCAGCTAAGACGAAAAAAATCCAGATAGCAGTGGTGACGTCGAACATAACAAAAAAAACCTATCATCATCGGAGCATCTCATTTCCCATCAGAAACTCAAATGCAAACTCAGTTGCAAGGCAAGTTATATTCGCGCAAGGACTTTTCGTATTCCGAGCTCATCAGCTCATCTAAATTCGGAAGCCCATAAGCACAACGGCTGATTCGCCGAAGTGTTGTTAGCCGTTGAAAAATGTACATCATCATAAAAGGACAGCAAAACAAAGAGCGTATAGGACAATACGATTTAATCGTCGTTAAAGTATCAATGGTTATCAGGAACCATTGCGCGAATAGAAATTGGCGACTTCAACGTGGCCAATTTCTCCGCGTTCACGATTTCCGGCTTTCGAGTAGGTGGAGTGAACCCAGGCACTCCGAAGACCTCAGCATACACTAGTTGGCCTAGGACTAGCATCATGAACCCAACTAGCTGCACTGACGACCAGAACGTCCAAGGCTCGGCGAAGGACATGTTGGGGTCCATGGCATAGTAAGTAAATAGACCTACAACCCATACGACGGCTGTCTGCATGGCACTGATCATGGTTCGGTGTACAGAGCTGAGATACTTAGTGACCAGAACGCCCGAAACATTCGTGAGGAAAATGGAGGCCACATAAATACCCATCAAATCCTGCATCTCGGAGGAGTTCTCGTAGAGGACGACCGAGTCCAGTGTGTTCTCCAACGAACCGGAGTCGTTACCGGGAATATAGTAGATAATGGGGAGAGCGATGAAGATCATGATGAGGGTACCCCAGATGCCTTCCATGCCAACGACTAAGAAGGGAGGGATATTGATGCTCTTCATGAACTTCTCCTCGGTGACCAACTGTAAGGACTGTATTATTTGCGAGAGAACGATCATGACCATACCGAAAGCTACCAAGGCCGGGGAGTTCGTCTTGGACTTCTCGTCGTGACTCATGAGGTTAGCATAGCCGACCAGAGTAACGGCAACCACACAAAGGACAATGCCGAGCCAATTCTGTCTGTTCATTTTTCTGTGTAAAAATACGATTGAAAGAAGTGCAGAGAAAACGATGATGGACCCTCGCATCATGGTGAACACCGACGCTGAGTTATACAGAAGACCAACGTAGCTCACAGTCGTACCAGTCATATCGAGACATGCTGGAAAAGCAACGTACAAAGCAGACTTCCAAAAAGGAAGCTTCTTAGCCGGCCTCCGCGTATCAACAGAGTCGGGCTTTTCAAGCAAAGCTCGTCGTTGTTCACTCATCCTTCGGTGAGTCTGCACGAAAACTTGACAGAAATGCACCAAGATCGCCGGGGCCATACCAAGGAACATCTGGAGCGTTGTGAACCAAGGCTTGTGGAACTTCTTCAATTCGCCATAGTAGCCGACTGAGGTGATCTCAAAGACAACTTTGGTGAGCATCGTGTTGAGAGGGCCGGTCATAAGGAGCAAGAAGACGCTCACGACGGTGAACCACGGGACAGACGCCATCGATGAAGGGTTAAAACAAGCACTGAAGAAACCAACGGTTTACTATATACGTACACAAGCTCTCCAACCTCCACAACTAGGACCACTCTAGTAGCCGAGATAGACCAAGCCAACGGGAGCTAGTAGCGGGATTGTGTGCTGCTGTCCCCCTTGAAGGATCGGAGTGTTCGATCTAAGAGTTGCATTTTGAAAGATGTCGTACGGTTGGAGAAGGTGATTCCTACCATGAAAAGAGCGATAAGTATGTAAGCTTGTGGAAGCTGCATAGCTTGGGCGGCCCAAGTTGGGCCTCATTGCCCCGATGCACTTTGAGAGGTAGCACATTGGTGGAGGAGTTGTAGACCTACACCTTCTCAAGAACTGTACACAGAGTGATCAAAGGAATAGGATCACCCGGGTCACCCTTCTTATCAATGGGATCGGGTTGAGGAA